ACCAAAATTAAGAAATATATTGTGATATAATTTTTTGCCACACTATCAGCCCTAGCACACCCTCAAATACATGAGAAAAAAAGATTTTCTTGTCCGCTCTCAAATAAACGCTGCTGTAGTGCGATTTAGTGCATTTATGTAACGAGTATGTCTCCAACATTTATTAGATTTGCTAGGAATATTTATGAATGTCTCCATTAGATCTAAAGAATGACATTGGTGCATCCTGAGGTGAAGTGAAAAAGCCATAAACTCCAGCAAGGTAAAGTCATTGTATGCAGAACTATAGACCTTTATCTATAAAAAATATAATTATAGAAACTATGTTTATCATAACTGAAAGCTACATTATGTTTGCTGGCCTCACACATCACACAACCCTGTCAATCAGTCAGCAAGTAACCCCTAAAGGTTTAAACAAATAACGTACAACACAACTACAATTACAGAAAAGTTTGCCCTGTTAAAATTCACTTAAATGTAATACGTTTTTGTGTGATTATTACCCACTATATAAAAAAATTGCAACAACTGAAGGTTTTGAATAAGCTGTAATGTAACTGTGGTGGGAATTCATTTTGGTTTGGTGCCCCACCATAAAAGAATGAATGTAGCGGAAACCATGCGTCATTTTGGTAACGTCCACACAACGTCAAGTTAAAACATCATTGGATGTGGATATTTTGTTGTTTTTAGGTTGCGTTTGGAAACCAAAATGCAATGTCTGCCCAACGTTAGACAAAGAAGTTGGCCTGATGTTGGGCTCTGACGTTATCCCGATTTTCATTTCCAATTTCAAAATGCCAGATCCCACTACATTGGGGTCCAACGTCAATCTGACGTCATGTTGACGTCCTGTGCCTGCTTAGACAAGTGATGTTGACTAAAAGCAGCACAGAAGCTCTTTTGAAAGAGACAGTTTTGGCTAATATGTCCACTATTGGGTGTCACTGGGCCTTTCTGACAAGCCAGTACAAAACACACAGTTTAGTTAAACATTGTTTACACGTTTTTATCTTTAAGTCCATTAATAGTTCTGCCTTCTCACACATTTTGTTAAAAGACTTGATTGGGAAGCAATGTAGGAGCAAAACACTTCTGCATTTCTCATTACATCGAATAAAAAATGCAACTATTATTACAGGTCATGGTTTTGAGTACAATATAAATTGTAGAAAAATGTCAAATATACAGTAAGCATGAAGCTCCACCACTACATTCAACCATCAGTCAGGTGTAAGCAAAATTTAAAAAACATGAATGAAATATCACAAACTCATAAGAATTATTTACTAAAATGCAAAATGCTTAAAAACTCCCATAAAACAGTCAGCTGTGACAGTTTGAGCTTCACAGATACATAAAAGTGTGCAGACTCACATGCAGAAAATTGTTCCACGCTTCACAATAACATATCCGTATACACACATACTGAGGACAGGCTATGGTAATTCAGCTCTCCATGTGGAGAATTACATCAGTATGGGTGTGCGGTGCAGATCCTGTATAAGTGGATGTGCCAGAGGATGATGAATGACTGAGTAAATACCCAGCATCCCAAGAGCCCTGATACAACCAGCCCAAACCCCCATCCATCTGAGCCTGGTCCGCATCACCTCATTTGTCAAGGAAAACCATTTTCTGTGCAGCCGAGCAGCCAGTTTGGGGTTACCGCTCTCTCCCTTATTACAACCGAGGGGATACGTGGAGGTCTCGTACACTTCTTAGGAATTCCTTTCATGATTCTACACAGCGTTTTTCTAAAAGATTCCAAGAATTGCATTTTTGTTTAATCGGTAGACATCCCTCGGTCCCTATTTATCACCTTGCTTTTGCCACTTCCAAAATGATATCGGTCTGCAGGTGCTACCATCCTGTGTGTGTGCGCATGGTAAGATTAAATATAAAAGAAAAGCTATGCAAATACAAATAAATAAAACAACTATAGGAATTCTAGATTTAAATCAATAAATTAGAGGAAAACAAAGTGCTGCTTACCCCTGCAAACTCGCTGTTACACTGTGGTGTGGCAATGGTTACCAGTACGTTGCTTTGTGGTTTACGAGGTGCACTGGGTGGTTGCTGGAATGTTCTTGGTGGTTTCTAGGTTGGTTGTTGGTCCATCTCCGAGTCAGGTTTTTTTTTTTTTTTTTGCTATTTCCTACATCCTTACACTTTAACAAGGAAACATGTATTGAGTTATTTAGCCTAAAACTGTAGCTAATTTTTAATGTTCCAATTAGCTCCAACATCAACTTTCATGATTCAAGAGAGGAAGCGCAGTGAACAACAGTTAAGACATATCTATAACATTTGCAGTCACCATAGCCGCAACAATATAGCATAGGCTAGGCTACTGCTGCAGTGTTTACATATTTTCGCCATTTAATGGGCCACAATACTGTTTTTAACATTTATAAAAATCTTTTTTGTTTTAAAAACAACATACGCTATTTGGGAAATACTTATTCGTGTTTAAGGGGCGCTTAAAAACATAGCCTAGGCCTACGCCATTTTATGGTCACCTGAACATAAAATAGTGCCGTTTCCTTAGCGCGCGTCACTATCGTCACGACTGGTTGAATATACATTAATAAATGAAGGCTACAAAAATTTTGCAATTACCAGGAAACAATTGATGCTGGTCACAACGGCTCTCGTTCAGTCTGTACGCAAAAGGTCTTATCATAAAGGCCTGGTTTGTGTGAATGGTATTTAGGCTCGACACAAGCACAGAGAGAAACAAAGACTGAGAGCCGTCGTCATTAATCTTAGTCAGTGGCCGGTGCTGGCGCAATCTGCATGACCGGGGCAGTGACAAATGCCACTATGTGACTGCAGCGTCCAATCTCCCCTGCTTCATCTCCCGTTAATGTCACATCCATCAGGCCAGAGCCGCTCGCGCCATGTCGCAGAAAATTAAACTGCTTACAGATAAGGGCTAATTGCATGGACAAGCGCGCGGTGATGGGGTGGTTGCACAAACTGTGCTCCTCCTGCGTGGGACTTCTTTGAAATATGCGCCTTTTTAATTTTTGAGCGTGCTTTAAAACATTAGATACTATTTTAAAGCAATTGTAAATTGATTTGATTTTAAGATTTTTGTTTATTATTTTAGGTTATGAATAAACTAACCTATATCTATTATTAAACAATTAATTGTGTATAGGACGATTGTAAAAATATTTTTATATATGTAGTTATTTACTTTTTTTAATTACATCAACTAAGTGATATTATTATTATTGTGTTGTTATTATACGATTATTATTATCACCATCATTATGATTAAATATTTTTTTTTATTATTAGTATTATATATATATATATATATATATATATATATATATATATATATATATATATATATATATATATATATATATATATATATATATCATGTTTATATCATTATCAGCAGAATTATAATTATTATTCAGATGTATTTGATTTTCCCATATGGATGATACATGTAAATATAACCTAACTGAATTTATTTATTTAACGAAACGTTCTGAAAACTGTTTGCACATAGGCTGTTTGAACTGGCTGCTTTTCATATACGCCTGTGCTTTTTATTCTACCTAACAGCTTAACACTGACATCGTGTGGTGAAGCTCTGTTTCTGTGCACGAGTTAAAGCAACACTTTTAAATAAAACAAAATAATAATAATAAAAAAACTTTTTATTGTTTTATTAAAAAATATATGTATTATTTATAAAAATAAATAATACATAAATATTTGTAGCTGTTGTATATCGGTATACTTCATATTTGCATACATTAGCCTTATTTATATCACACTGTCAAGCAAAGTGTTTCAGGAAATATTATATGTTATTTGTTTATTTTTATATAATAATAATAATAATAATAATAATACATTATTATATTAAACACAATGCAATGTAATATATTCTATTCTGAAACTTCAGCCAGGCTAAGATGGTTGGATTAACTTTGGATGAGGTTTTAACTATCATTACCAATGGTAGGCTACTACTACTACTACTACTACTACTACTGTTCTTCTATTATTTTAGCCTATTATTATTTTAGTAGTAGAAATAATAGCCTATTATTATTATTATTATTATTATTATTATTATTGTTGTTGTTGTTGTTGTTTTAGTAGTAGTACTAATAGCCTATTATTATTATTATTATTATTATTATTATTATTATTATTATTATTATCATTATTATTATTATTATTAATATTATTATTATTGTTGTTGTTGTTGTTGTTTTGTTATTATTATTATTATTATTATTATTATTATTATTATTATTATTATTATTATTATTATTGTGTTGTTTTAGTAGTAGTAGTAGCCTGTTAATATTATTATGAATATGATGATTATGATAATTATTATTATTTATTAATGTTTTAGTAGTAGTAGTATTGTTGTTATTATTATTATTTTTTTTATTATCATTATTATGGCCTATTGTATTTTTAGAAGTAGAAGTTATAGCCTATTGTTATTTATGATGATTATTATTAGTAGTAGTATTGTCATTATTGTAGCCTATTATTGTTGTTGTTAGTAGTAGGAGTAGTAGTAGTAGTAGTAGTAGTAGTAGTAGTATTAGTAGCCTATTATTATTATTATTATGATTAGTAGTAGTAGTAGTAGTACATCATCATGGTGCATTGTTGGTAAACTAGATGCGCATTTAATTGAGTCATCCAACTGAACTGGCTCAGTCTGGTAAAACAGTGGATGCACATCGGTATTCTTTACATACATGATACATACATACATACATACATACATACATACATACATACATACATACATACATACATACATGATAAATAAATAAATAAATAAATAAATAAATAAATAAATAAATAAATAGATAAATAAATAAATCTAATAGATCTAATAATATAAATATAGTTTCCAGTCGCTTTTCTGGGCCGATAGGAAAAACGCGAGGGCGGAACCTTTGAAAATGAATAGTTTGTTTCCTAACGTTTGTGTTATGGAGCGGAAGTCCTTCATTGTCCACCGTGAACGGAAGAGTGACATTATTAGCGGTACTGAAGAACTCTGCTGTTTTAATAATACAATTGTTGCAGGTAGTATTGAATTTTGTTTATTTATGTTTGTTTTATTGTAGCCTGTCCTAAATGTCTACTTATAATACCGTCAATAAGTATATTTTTGAACGGTGCGTATAATGGACGATGCTCTTGCGATGCTGCAAATGTCTTGGGCCACTATTTTTTTTCTCCATCAAAAATAGTCCGTTATTTATGTCTTAAGAATTACTGTTCCCGTGCCAAATCTCAGTTTACCTTTCTAAATATTAGCTTTGCTTATAATTGTTAAAATCCAGGTTGGTTATGAGGTTATAACTGTTAAAATCCAGGTAAGTTAGGTTAGCAACATCTCCAAATAGGGCTGCAACATTTTGGAAAAGAGGTAAAGTTGGTTTTATAATTGGATATTCAGACATTTTTCTTAATAATATAATTTCAGAAAAGTATTCTTTGCAAATTGTAAAAAGAGAAATCATTTTAGCACCAAATAACTATCTTAGTACAGCATTGTTCACAGTGAATTATAGTTTGTTAATGTTGTTTAAAAGTCATATTTTTATGCTAATTTCGACCAAATATTCAAAGTAACATGGTAAACAATATTGAGACGTCTAAATGAACGAATGTGTGAATATAAAACCAACTTTTTCTTTATCATTTTGGAGAAACAATTAAATTGTGATTTATCTGATCAAAATGTGCTGTAAAAATGTGATTTACTATAATTTTATACAAAAGCTGCAGGTTTAATGTTGTGGTTTTAGCAGCACCCAAGAAAGAAAATCACAAAAAACTATGCTATGCTAAACACTACACTATGCCAAGTTGTCAGTTGTCATGACAATTTAAGAAGATAACCACAGAATTTTGAATTTAATTTAGTAAAATCTTATTTATAGGTATATAAAACATTTACATTAAAATTGTGTTAAATTGTCAATATTGATTGCATTCACAGTGCATTCACAATGCATTCCATGCACAAGATTTTACTTCTCAGCACAATATGAGCAATTCCAGCGTTATGGATCTGACAGCTGCAGTAAAAACTCAAAACATAAATTCACATAGAAAGTGCATGTTAACATTATATTGAAATGTTTGTTTATATTTTCCAGAACAACTGACCATAGAGTTAAGGGACCATAAAAATATCAATCAGTAAACATGTTTTGTACTTTAAATGTGGAAAATAAACGTGTGTTATGAACGTGACAAAAAAAAGTCTGCTGTTGTACAGTACACAGCATACTTTGTAGAAATTCTATGATTTAAACTGCAAAATCCAAAAGAAACACAAGCTCATGCGACAAGTTTCACATTTTGCTGAGTTCTAAAGTTCCAGTATGGTGACCTGCGAAATTAGACCAGGGGTGTCCAAACTCGGTCCTGGAGGGCCAGTGTCCTGCAAAGTTTAGTTAAGACACATAGTTAGTTGGGGTGTTAATGAAAGATCCAGAAGAGCATGCTGTTCATTTGATTCAGAATTGCACATTTTTGTTAGAAGGCTCACGGGTCAGGTATACATGCATGCTAAAATATCAAAGTGAAAGTCATGATAGCTTGCGTAGAACAGACCCAGCTCACAACGCAACTTTGAGAATAGATTAACGGCAATTATTTTTACTGCGCGATAAAAGTCTTGCATTAAATATCGCATATATATATATATATATATACGCACACACACACATTAATACAGTTTTGTCATTTAAATGCAGGCAGATATATGAACAGTACCTTTAATATTTTTTTCTTAAAAAAAACAATTTTTTTTGAACGTATCAAACAAAACTCGAGGACAAGCACAGAGTAGCATGTGCATTTATAGCAAATAAATAAATGTAAATAATATCTAGTTGCTTTTTGAACATTTTCGAGCAAGTTCTTAAATGCCTCAGATTGGTCATTGTATTCACGCACACAACAGAAAGTGCTGCGATTAGCTCTAAAGGCTGATTTATACTTCTGCATCAAGCTCACGCTTATGGTCCTGCACAATCTTGGTGATGAGTGTGGGCGGTGCTGAGAGCCTCGAGCCTGATGGAGCAAGTGTTTGCAAGCAGGTCAAAGGTCCACACACAGAGACAAGAAGAGCAGAGATAAAGTTTAGAGCTTTTATTTTAACCAATGCAGGAAAAGGAGCTCATGGGTTCTGCTGTAACAGTTGTCTGCTTTTTAAGTAGCATTTGTAGGGTCGTTTGAATTACTCCTGCACGCCTCCCTCGCCATTAAAATAATCACAGCCTTTGCGATATGAAAATTAAACCTATTCAAATTTTACTTTCAGTTTAAAAGCAATTAATCATACAGGCCTGTTTCCAAAAGCCTTCAAGAAATCAACCCACAAAGCTGTTTTAGTCAAGATTCTTTTCTTTCAAGATTTTTTTTTTTATAATCTAAGTGCCATAAAAAAAAAATGATTAAATCAACATTTGTTGTAGCCATCTTTTGCATTTAAAAATGCTTTTGACCTAGAGTACAGTAGGTAAGTACACTTATTAATGCAAAGTTGGTTTTATATTCACACAGTCAGACTTTCACCTACTTAATATAATTTCATAAAAGTATTCTTTGCAAATTCTAAATAGGGAAATGATATTAATAGCTAATGAATATCAAAGTACGACATTCAATTAAGTAGTGCCAATTTTGTTTTGCGATTTCAAACTGAATATTCAAAGTAGCTTGTCACAAAGTGTCACTGTTCAAAAATGAATGAATGTGCCAATATAATTGGTACTCTTGTACCAGTGGTACACTTGCACATAGTTTTTCAGGTAGCTTTGCTACAATGTTTCCGTAAGTGTTTTGGAGATGTTGCAACAGTTCTTCTGTATTTGTTCTGTGCCTTCATGTCCTTCCAGATGGACTGAAGGTGAGATCAGTTCTCTGGCTGGTGCACTGGCTGCTGTCAGATTCTGTGCACACAAAAATATCACAGGATTTCTAAAATTATAAACAAAAATAATATTTAGATTTTTTTTTTTCTAATGGCTACACCAAAATATTAAACTCACTAAGTTTTGGTGGTGAAAATACTTTTGGCCTGAGACTTTCACACAGTACTATACATGCATACATACAGACATGCAATGTTGATTTTTCTTTCATTCGATACATTTGTTTTTATAATTTCAGGAACACTGTGTTGAGGAATCTGAAGGAGCAATCAGTTGATGGATGGTCCATGCCCAAACGCTTTACAACCAATGTGCAATGGCAAGGCTTTCCACTAAGAACTAGATGATTGAGCCTTGGATGACAAAGTTGATAAAAGCAAGGTGCACTCGTATTAATGTCCTAAACTAAAATGCATATGGGGGAGTCAACACTGATATATTAACATTAATCTGTCTTTGCAGTGTGTGAAGAGAACTTGGATGCCAAATTAGATGGATGTCTCACTTCCAAACAAGAATGTTGCAGATTGGGACACTGAACAAAGTTCTGCATGTGTTTCCAAATCTTCAGAGGATGTATGGATGGGGAAAAAACAAGAATTTGAGAAGGAACAAGAACCTGTGATGGCAAAACACAGTATGGACAAGGATGCAAGTTCAGAAGTATTGTCAAATGTCTCTGATAATCGTAGTGAAAAGAAAAAAGTTCACGAATGTCCGTTGTGCCTTAAGCGATTTGGTGTCCTATACAAACTAAAAAGGCATTGCCTTATTCACACCAATGAGAGGCCATTTCAGTGTCCCATATGTGTGCATAGTTTTAGGGAACGCTCTCACCTAAAAGTACATCTCAGAACTCACACTAATCCTGTGATGCAAAGTACAATCCAGAAACATGGATTTAGCAGTGTACCTTGTAATCAAGCGTCAACTGCCCAAAGTGATGCCAATTCAACAGATGAACATAAATCAGTTGAAGTAGATTTAACCAAGACTTACTCAGATGTTGAAACTATTGGTTCAGAGAGTGGTTTAAAAATTATAAAGGGACCTCGGTGCCCTTTATGCTTAAAATGTTTTCAATCGCCATCAAAGCTTAAGCGTCACATTATGATACACACTGAGCAAAAGCCTTTCAAATGCTACGTGTGCTCCAAAACCTTCCATCTAAGATCTCATTTGAAAATTCACAAGTGTAAAGGTAAAATTAGACCCGAGTGCAATACTTTTTTGGGGAATGGGCTGGTAGAAGAGAACAGGGTAGAGGGTGAAGATCTCGGAACCAGGATGGCACCTGTGTCCAAATCATCAGATGTGCGTCCACTTTTACTCACAAAGAAAAATCGATATCAGTGTGAAATATGCTTGAAGGTATTTAGTGTCTTCTCTAATCTAAAACGACATCGGTTTGTTCACTTAGCCTCCAAGCCTTACACTTGCACAATCTGCTGGAAGTCATTTAAGCAGGCCCGTTATCTCCATAAACACCTCAAGCAACATAAAGAAAAAAGGCACTTTCCTTCTAGGATGTGTGATGTCAAGAAGAAAAATGAAGGCAATTCTTCAACACCTGGAGCTTTTGATGGTTCAAATAACAGCAGGCTAAATGCCGGTGATGTGTCTCAAAATTTAAGCACTGTAGACAAGCAACATCTTGAAATGTTACAGTGTGACAACCATCTTAACCAAAATGCCCCTTTAATAAATTCCAGTGCTGACACCCTAAAGGAAGAGGTAATAGAAGAGCAAATTGCAGACGCCAACCCAACATATTTTAAGCACACAAGTAAAAATGTGAATCAGTGCAAAATCTGTCTGAAGAAATTTTCATATCCTTCTAGGCTCTCCAGGCACCTTTTGGTTCACACAGATGATAAACCATTTAAATGCAGCGAGTGCTCGAAATCATTCCGGAATCCGTATCATTTGCGGAGGCACCAGAAGATCCACAAAAGAGAAAAAAAGTATATTGCCAACAAAACAGGGCATCAATTACTCTATTCTTCTAATGTTACATCTACAAGTCTACTTAAAACCGACAGTGGGTATCAGTGTGATGTATGCTTAAAGACATTTAGTGTCCCCTCTAAACTAAGGCGACACCAAATTGTTCATTCAGGCACTAAGCCTTACACTTGCATGATCTGCAGAAAGTCATTTAGTCAGGCCTATTCCCTCACAAAACACATCAAGTTACATACAGGAAAAGTAAACAGTCCTTCCCTGTTGCATTGGCTGAGAGGGTCAAAATCATCAATAACTGGTGCTTTGCAGACAAATAATTGTGGACCAAATGATGCTAATGCGTCCCTGCCTAAGGAATTAGACTCTGTAGATGGCCAAACAAATGAAAAGCTTCAAGACCACAGCCAACTTGACCAAAATGTCTCCTTGACAGAGTCGTCAAATACTGTAAAGACTGAGAGTGAGGATGTTTTGAAGGATTCTGAAGAACCAACCGCAAACTCCAGCCCAACAAATAGCTTGGACAAAAGTAATGATGAGAATCAGTGCGTCATCTGTCTGAAGACCTTTCCATATCCGTCTAAGCTCTCCAGACATCTTTTGACCCACACAGATTTCAAACCATTTCAATGCACAGTGTGCTCGAAATCATTTCGAAATGAGTCCAATTTGCAAAGCCATGAGAAGTTCCACAAGAAAACTGGCAAAAAAAGAATATCTGCCTATTCCGGTCCTGTATATCAGTGTGAAATATGCTTGAAGAAGTTTAATTTCCCCTCCAGGCTAAAACGACATCTTAGCATTCATTCGGGTGCCAAGCCTTACAGTTGCATGATCTGCGGGAAGTCATTCAGACTGCCCGAATATCTTTCTGAACACCTCAAGATACACAAGGGAAAGAAGAGAAACCATTCTTCTCGGTTGCATGGAGTCCCTCAAAAGCAAGGGATGGACGACAAGGGATCAGACACCCAAACAGATGAAAATCAAAGCCAAAATTTATCTGATGTTTCATCAGATACTGAAACACAGACTCCAGGAAACTCCAGCCCAATGTACCCTGAGTCCAGAAGTGGGGGTGTGAATCAGTGTGTCATCTGTCTAAAGATATTTCCTAATCATCCTTTGCTTTTCAAACATCTTTTGGGCCACGCAGATTTCACACCATTAAAGTGCAATGTGTGCTTGAAATCATTTCGATATCTGTGTAATTTGGAGAGCCACAAGAAGATGCACCACAAAGCGGCTAAGGAGAAAATTGCAGGCAATTCACAACAGGACTGTGCAGATTCTGGAAAAGCTGTCGCATCTAAAGACCAAGATCTGAAAATGCCATCGTCTCAAGATGGAGCTACAGTTCACCAAGATCCAAACATGCTTGCAGATAATGCATCTCAGAAAATGAGTGGTAACTGCAGTGATTCAGGTGGATTGACCTCAAATGGTACTCGTTTTCTAGGAAATGTTGTGCCCAATTCCGAGGTCATTACTCAGTCTAGCAAGAAAACTGTTTTGGGTTTGACGCATAACACTGACATCTCTGTGCCTGCTGAGAAAAAGGCATTTGACATTGTGCCTTTTGGCAGAGTGAGCGACTTTCCACCCAAAACTGATTCATCTCTCCAGCCTTGTGCCTCCAATTCAAGAACCGAGCAAACCTGGGCACATCACACTGGTAATATTAAAGAAGAAGTTTCCTTTGTGGATTCTGACACTATTAAACATGTCCCAGAGTCTTCCGTTCCCCCTGTAAGTCTGCACACTCAGAAACCAGACAATTCCAACTTGAGTAATGCTGATGTTAGGGGGCAGTTGAACTTTCAAGATCCTAGTGGACACTGTAACAAACCTCAACATGACTTCCTCATTTGTTCTGACTGTGGCCAGAGTTTCCCCACAGAGCAAAAATTCTATGCTCATAAATGTACCAACCTAGAGTCTACAGAGAAATTCAAGAAATTCCATCAGTGTGACATTTGCTTCAAAGTCTTTAATGTACCGTCCAAACTAAAGAGACACATTATTAGTCACACTGGTCAAAAGCCATACAAGTGTCCTCATTGTCAGAAGGGCTTTACACAGTCCCATAATATGAAAGCACACATGTTGACCCACACGTTCGAAGACATACCTCAAGGGTTGTCCAGCTAGGACGTTAGGGCATCAAGGGGCATTTCTCACTAAATCAGCTGTGTTCTATGTATATTTTAGTGCTACAAGTTTTCTGACATATAGACCATAATTATCGTTAAGTTTTCTTTTTTCATATCCTTTTTTTTTACATTTTGTTTTTGTTTTATTCCATTGTACAATAAGTGTCAAAGTACACAATGTGTTGATGTAAAAATGAAACCAGAAGGAACTCTAAAATAAAACAATGAAATTTTGTTGTGATTAAGCAGTTGTTGGCTCATTTCTTTAATAATATAATTAAATCGCCACCACTTTGTACATCAAAGATTTTCTACACCAGTGGTTCACTAACACAGCACTTGTTTTTGCTTTTCGGAGAAGCCAAGAACCATCTTTCCACAAAGTGATCATTTCATCATTGCAGTAGTTCCATCTACATCCACTGGATGGTGCAATGTGCTTGCATTTCTCTCTATTGCCTATCATAATTTTCTAGGGCATTAAAATAACAGATTTTTATGGCCTTTAAAATTCTACCAACCAGATTCACACAATATATTTATGTCTTGCACAATTGACATATGCCTTTAATTACATATTCAATGGTTTAAAATTTCACACACACACAGATATATAAACACTTTAAGGTATTCAATTTTGCACTTTAACATGAACAAATAATAAACAATCTAGTTATAACAGTATTTATTCATCTTGGGTAATAGTCAAAGTTGTTGACTGTTCATGTTAACTCAGACTCGCAGTGCATTAGCTAATGTTTACAAGCAAGAATTAGGATTTTAATAATGCATTAGTAAATGTGAACCTTTAAATAATGCTGTAAGTTCATTATTAAGCTGGGGTTATACTAGAGTTTGAGCTTGCGAAATTCTGTCATATGGCTCTGCGAAAAGGGGCAGGATTTAACAAGATGATCAGACATTTAAAAAAAAACGAGCGATTGCTCCATATTTTAAATTTCTGATGTCATGATTTGATCCTCGGTTGGTCTAAAGCAGTCAAGTGATGCGATTTCGCAGGTCAGAGTTCACCAAGCTTGAACTTTGCACCGCAGCAACCTGCAAAACTTGACGCATGACCCTGCGTTTCCGGTCTGACGCATTTGCTTATGAATGGAAGTCTATGGGAGGAAAAGGCCAGTGTGACCGCAGCTTTAGTTCATTTTATCAAATGCATTAACTAATGAAATCTTTTTGTAAATGGTGACCAATAAAATATCTATTTGCCAATCTAAGCAAATGTTTATTGCAATGTTTATTTTTAACTTAGCAACCCAAAGTCCAATCAAAATAACGATTCATAACTAACAGGAAATCAATCTGTGAACCTTGGCTTCATTCAAGTCTGACTTGAAGGTCAGTTTAACTCACACTGACCTCCCTGTTATGTCATGGTTGATAATGTTATATTGAACTCTGATTGACATTACTATGCTTTTAATTAAATGAAAATAATTAACAAACATGAACTTAAAAAATGGTTATCTGTTAGCCTAAGATGAGGGTCTTTTGCCTTGAGGGAAAATTAGAGTGGACTTTTTTTATTACTATTCTTATTGTTATAGCACAGAATGACTAGCTATGTTAGTTTTGTCCGGAATTCCAGGTTTAGTTGTTTATCTTGACATCCATTTTTTTGTTGTTGTTTTTTATTTAGGGTCAGGCAGTGGTGCAGTTGGTAGTGCTCTTGCCTCACAGCAAGAAGGTCACTGGGTCGCTGGTTCAAACCTCGGCTCAGTTGGTGTTTCTGTTTGGAGTTTGCATGTTCTCCCTACCTTCGTGTGGGTTTCCTCCGGGTGCTCCGGTTTCCCCCTCAGTCCAAAGACATGCAGTACTGGTGATTTGGGCTAAATTGTCCGTAGTGTATGAGTGTGTGTGTGGATGTTTCCCAGAGTTGGGTTGTGGCTGGAAGGGCATCCGCTGCGTAAAAACTTGCTGGATAAGTTGGCGGTTCATTCCACGATGGCGACCCTGGATTAATAAAGGGACTAAGTCGAAAAGAGAATAAATGAATGTTTTTTATTTATTTATTTTACCTCACATTACATTTTAGTTCACACTCTGTCAGTGTTAAAGTTAGATTCTAGGTCACCCTCAGATTAAGCTTTGTTCTGATCGTTTATATTTCTATTGAGGAGGTTAACACAAAGTCTAATCCAGGGAAAAGTGTCTATCTGCCTGAGCTACTCTGATGGGATCATTTAGGTCAAATACATTGTTAAATTTTGGCTAATGATGTTTTGTGGTGAGACAAAGAGATTTTGTTCATCCCAGCAGATATATCCCCTAGTGGTTTTTCAAATGCTGTAATGTCACAGTTACATATTACTTCCGTGCTCTTTAATGCGTGACCTAGACTAAAGTGGATATTGCTTTGCAGAGAGTTTAACTCACAACTGGCAGGTCATAAGTGAGAAATCCAATTGCTTCAGTAAAATACACTGTCCTAAGACAGTGAAAAAAATTACCTCATTCTATCTGATAGAAGTCAGAAAGGCTGAGTGATCAAAGGCACCAAACCCAAGATTTTTCAGGCCATTTTATTAGGTGCACCTAATAAACCGGGTTGGACCCCCTTTTGCCTTCAGAACTGCCTTTGTCTTTCATGGCATAGATTCAACAAGGTACCGGAAATATTCCTCAGAGATTTTGGTCCATACTGACATGATAACATTACACAGTTGCTGCAGATTTGTCAGCTGTGCATTCATGATGTGAATCTCCCATACCACCACATACCAAAGGTGCTCTATTGGATTGAGATCTGACTGTAGAGGCCATTTGAGTACAGTGAATCCATTGTCATGTTCAAGAAACCAGTGTGAGATTATTCATGGTTTATGACATGGCGCATTATCCTGCTGACTGTAGCCATCAGAAGATGGGTACACTGTGGTCATAAAGGAATGGACATGGTCAGCAACAATACCGAGGTAGGCTGTGGTTGATTGATACTCCAGCTGATCCTTTTGACACGACATTGAATATCGTTGATGAAAAGTAAATTACAATTATTTTTTTAGATGAATTTTGGTTATATTCTATTCTGCTACATAAATATTAAAGTCAATAATGTAATTGGTAAAAATAATAAGAGTCGCCTGTTTTCCCAATGTAATCTGAGCTATCTACTGCAAGCACGTTGGTATAAAGACACTATCTGGAGATGAATTTGCATACGTGAATCAGAAACATTTCCATTCAATAAATGTGCATATAAAATATGATGCACAAACTTATTAATGATTCCTACTTGTCTTTCTCGTGATAAAAATTTGATGTAGCAGGGAAAAAAGAAGAAAGAGTTCATCAGATGCTGGATTCGATCGAGTTCATGCTCGAACATGTCAAAAGATGTTGACATGCATTTTACAAGCTGAGCCACTGATACTGGTTAAGGTGCTGCAACATTTTACAACTATAAATCACACTATTTCTTTTTTAATTCACTCAGTGTGATGTTCTGACCCAACTGTGTTAACCGCATCAGCTAAACTCTCCCACTCTATTTTTTTCTTTTATTGTTAATTCCGGAGAACAAACTTGCAAATAACACTGCTTTTCTCCGGTCTACCTCCAAAAGCAGCACCTCCAATTCACATTCTGTTCAAAGTTTCTCTTTTTGCTTGCTTTTGCCATTGCTTTTTCTTTGGGTTTTGCCAAAGTAGAGTCATTAGCATATTCATACGGGGGAGGCAGGGAGGGGTTTTGTGCTTGTGCATGTTGCGCTCAGTATCACGTTCATTCGGATGTACAAAATAATATGCGTGGGATAGGGCGTACGTAGTGTTTCATACATCTGAATTATTTTCTGCGTACGTACATTTACAGCTTTGTGTGTCCGCAATGTTTTAGTATGATTTCCACGCAAGTCTTCGTACATGAGGCCCCATTTAGAGGTGTGGGTTCAGATCCCACTTCTGACAGTAGAGTTTTCACATAGATTACATTCAAAAAAGAAATCTAGATATTTCACAAGTTTTTATCGCTGCTGTTGCGCTCTGACATTTGCCTTAATGGCGTGCACTAAACCATAAATGAAGCATGTGTCAGAACGGCCGAGTGGTTTAAGGTTCCAGACTCAAAGTGATTCAAACTTCTCAGGTAATGAGAACTTTGGTCTCCACATGGTGGCGTGGGTTCAATTCACACTTATGACAAAAGATTTTTCCCATTGATTACATTAGAAAAAGAAATGTCGATAATTAACAGGTTTTTAATGCTGCTGTTGCGCTATGGCATTTGCCTCAATGGATAGTCATGAATGACAGAGTGGTCTAAGGTCGCAGAATTGCCGGGTGCAGTGGCGCGCGCCTGTAATCCAAGCTATTGGGAGGCTGAGGCTGCGGATCGCTTGAGCTCAGGGCTTCTGGGCTGCAGTGGGCTATGTCGATCGGGTGTCCGCACTAAGTTCGGTATCGATATGGTGCTCCTTGGGGAGCTTGGGACCACCAGGTCGTCTAAAGAGGGGTGAACCGGCCCAGGTCGGAGACGAAGCAGGTCAAAGCCCCCGTGCCAATCAGTAGTGGAATCGCTCCTGTGAATAGACACTGCAGTGCAGCCTGAGCGAAATAGTGAGACGCAGACTTTAAAAAAAAAAAAAAAAAAAAAAAAAAGGTCGTAGAATTAAGATGATTGATTGTTCTCAGGCAATGAGAATTCTGGTCTCTAAATGGAGGTGTGGGTTCAAATCCCACTTCTGACAAAGGAACTTTCCCATTAGAAAAAGAGATGTAGATGACTTTCAGGTTTTTAATGCTGCTGTTGCGCTCTTAAATTTGCCTTAATGGAGTGCACTAAACCGATAGATGACATGTGTGTCAGAATGGCCGAGTGGTCTAGGGCACCAGTCTCAAAGAGATTTGACTTTCTAAGCTAGTGAGAATTCTGGTCATCAACTGGAGTTGTGGGTTCAAATCTCACTATTGACAATAGAGTTTTCACATTGATTACATAAGGCAATCTAGATATTTTACAAGTTTTAAATGCTGCTCTTGAGCTATGGCATTTGCCTTAATAGAGGCAATAGTTATGGAGTATCAGTGTCATGTTTGACAGAATGGCCGAGTGGTCTAGGACTTGAGTTGATTGATCACTCTTAGCCAATGAAAATTCTGGTCTTGCCATGGAGGTGTGGGTTCAAATCCCAATTCTGACAAAATAGATATTAGATTGATTCGATGAGAAAAAGCAATGTAGAGGATTTCCAGGTTTTCATTGCTGCTGCTGCGCTCTTAAATTTGCCTCAATGTAGTGCACTACATCATAAATGAAGCGTGTGTCAGAATCGCTGAGTGGTCTAAAGCGCTAGACTCAAGGTGAATCAACCTTCTCAGGTAATGAGAATTCTGGTCTTCAGCTGTAGGCGTGGGTTCAAATCCCACTTCTGACAATAGATTTTATACATTGATTACTTAAGGAAATTTAGATAATTTGCAAGATTTTAATGCTGCTGCTGCGCTCTTGAATTTGCCTCAATGTAGTGCACTACATCATAAAAGAGGTGTGTGTCAGGATTGCCGAGTGGTCTAAGGCGCCAGACTCAGGGTAATTCAACCTTTTCAGATAATGAGAATTCTTGTATACAGATGGAGGCGTGGGTTCAAATCACACTTCAGACAATAGTGTTTTCACATTGATTACATAAGGAAATTTAGATGATTTACAAGATATTAATGCTGCTGCTGCGCTTTGAAATTTGCCTCAATAGAGTGCACTACATTTTAAAGAAAACGTGTGTCAGAATGGCCGAGTGGTCTTAGGCGCCAGACTCAAGGTGGTTCAATCTTCTCTGGAAATGAGATTTCTGGTCTCCAGGTGGAGGCGTGGGTCCAAATCCCACTTCTGAAAATAGATTTTTCGTGTTGATTACAAAAGGAATTTTGAAAAATTTACAAGCTGTTAATGCTGCTGCTGCGCTTTGAAATTTGTCTCAATGGAGTACACTACATCATAGAAGAGGCGTGTTGTTGTGTTCAGCATTTTATAAGATTTATTGAAGTGCGTGCGCGTGCATGTGGTGCGTGCGCATGGAAAATAAAGCGGAAGTTTTAGTGTGTTCATCTGGACTGATGTGTAGACTGAGTTATTGAGTGTCCATAAAGTTCATACACAATATTGGCGACGAAGATGGCTGAATTTAGCTTACCTGCACCACCACCTTTCCTCCCAGTGCCTGGCGACCCGCCTATTCCATCGGCGAACTGGTTAGATGATTTCACAGTGTACCTTGAGGCAATAGATTTCACGGACATCTCCGATCGGAGAAAAATCTCTCTGCTTCGCCACTGTCTCGAGGCGGAGGAACAGAGAATATATCGTGCTCTGGGACATGCAGAAACATATGATCTCCTCGCGAATCACTTCACCGGGCAACAGCGCGTGCTGCTGCGCCAATACAAGCTGTGCAAACGGCTTCAGCACTCGGGTTAGTCCGTGCAGAATTAGGTAACTAATCTGCGAGATATGGCACGCTCATGCAATTATGGAACTCTTCAAAATCACATTGTTCGGGATCAGTTTATCGAAAGGGTATTGTTTGACAAGACCCGGGAGAAACTGCTGCTGGAACCTGATGAATTAACTTTAGATCATGCTGTTGCTATAGCTGTGCAGGTGGAGGCGGCCACTGAATGCTCTACGTTGCTGGCAGATGCGCGCCCCCTGGCGGACGCACCGTTACAGCAGATGGGATCTGTCTGTCTCACAAACCACGGCTCATTATCCCCACATAATACAGAAACTGAAGAAACATGTTTTCCAGTGCAGCTTACACAGCATTAAGGAAATCATAGAAGTTTAGTTTTCTGCAGCAATTGTGGATCTAATTCACACAACTCTATTCAAAATTGTCCAGCACGAGGACAGATCTGCAGGAATTGGCAAAAAAAAAATCACTTTGCAAAAGTATGCCGTTCTGCACCAGCTGCTCAAGTGTGGAAATATAAATTTATATCATCTAATTTCAACTTAACAATAATCTACGTATAACTAAAAAGTTGTATTCTCTGGTTTTTAATGATATTATTTCATTGACATGCCAGCTAGGAGGGTCATTTAACCTTTGCCTTGCTGACTACAGGCTAAGCCAAAGTGATGCAATTATCAGTTTCACAGCATGGGGTGTCTATTGTTTTCTCTTTTCGATCAAATGGTCAGGCGGTTTCTGTCTCCAGAACATGATGAGATCAAAGCCTGAAAGAGCAGTTTACCCTGCCGACCACAACTCTTAATTTGCATGCTTTGTTTAGCCATATCCCCTCCTCCTAAGAACACAATATAGCCATGAAATCTTTGTCTTAAATCAGACTTGTGTGAGACTTATGAGAGACTTGTGAAAGAACTTGCAGACTGCGGACCTCTAGTAGGCTCTTGCAGACACATGGACATCTTAAAGACGCTGTATGACTGCAGATTAACCAACACGTCTCAATAAAGGAATTCTGCTTGTTTCGAGTCTCCTGGACTGGGTTCTTCTCTTTTTTCACTCATTTATTTTTTTACAACAACTTGGTGCCGTGACCCGGATAGAGACTGAAATCATCAAATTCTCAACAATTTGCCACAAAAGACTGAAATCCACCTGGAATTCAACTTGAACCTTCAAGATCAAGGAAACTTCTTCAGACGGAATTTTCAGCTCAACGGCAATTTGAAGTCACTCAGCGTACGTCACAAATTCTCAACTATTTGCTGACTGCAACCCTGATGAACATTAAAGACCTGAATACAAAGATCAGATCACTCCAGACTGAGTCTTTTCAGCTTAACCTCGATTTGGTGAGTTTCACTCTATCAAAAGAACCATACAGACCAGTCTATACACATGGTTATACTCTGCTCCATCAGAGAAAAGTTAACAAACAGCTGCAGGGTTTGTTTAACAAAAAGTTATTCTCTATTTCAATAGAGAAGTAACAGTTTTATCCTCTGTTCAGACAGAGAAGTAAAGCCTTACGTGCTATTTTCTTTTAAAAAGTTATCCTCTCTTCAGAGAAGTTAAGCCTTATGCGCTACTTTCTTTTCTTTTATTTTGTTTTCCCTCTGTTCAACCAGAGAAGTTTTAGCTATACAAGCTAATTTATGTTATCTCTTGTTCAGGCAGGAAGTTTTAGCCACATGTGCTAATATTGTTACCCTCTGTTTCGCCAGAGAAGAAATTACTACACTTTCATCTGAAAAGTTTTAGTATTTTTACTTTGTGATAATAAGCTCACAAAATGTTCAGACAGAATACAAGACTGATCACTACAACTGAAAAAGGTAGTTTAACAACTCCTTTATTGTCAGATCAGGATTTCAAATCGCTGCTAAGACAGCACATGGACTCAATAACAGAGTCAGTCAGGCTAAATTTGACAAAGAAATTTAGCATTGACCCAGATAATGTTTGGACATTAGATGAATGCAAGAAAGTGCTTGATGCATGCATTCGCAAAAACAATGTAAAAGGCATTATCTGCTGCTACAGAGAATTCAGTTTATCTCGAGCTAAACAACAAGCTCAAGCTAAATCAGAATTAGAGAAACAGATCCAAGAGCTTCATGCTAAGATAACCTCATTAACAAAACAACTGAACCTAAAGAAATCAAAAACTGACATTGAGAAGGTTAGTCAGCCTGATAATAAACATCCAGACTTACAAATTGTCTCTGAAACAGACATTTCCATCCAATCAGATAGTGATTTGCTCATAGGTTCAGTGGAGGTTTGTGGTGCCAGAAGATCTAAGAGAACTGAGAGTTCACACAACAACACTTCTGTTGTTCAAATTCAAACAGTTTCCAGAACACTAGGACCTAGAGAAATAGACAGATTGTCTCAAAGCTTACCATCAGCACGCACAAATTTTTCAGAGTTTAGCAGAGCACTAATCAGCAAAATGCGTCTTTATGACATGTCCTTAACAGAAGTCACCCAGCTAATGTCTCAAATTCTCATTGAATCTGAATTCAACAGTTTTGAGCATACTGTGACCTCTAAATTACAACATACCAGTAAGGATGATTTCAGAGAGGGTGTTTTGAAAGCTCTAAAGAACATTGTTGGCCCAAAGATCGACTGGTCAAAAGTGTCTTGTTGTGTGCAAAGGAAAGATGAATCTGTGAGTGAATTCACTGAGAGATTTTGTCAGTCCGCCATAACTTACAGTGGATTAGCTGATAATTCGGATAGTGTGCTAGATGATAAGGGACCCCTAGTCCGCATCTGGTCAGATGGCCTTGCAACCGAATACAGACAAGCTTTGCCATTTCTTAACATCACCTGGTCTTCCACCACTCTCAGAAATAATCTGAACAGTTTAGCTTTGTGGGAAAGAGACTCTCATATCAAAGACAGAGTCAGATTTGAAGCAGCCGCCACTAAGGTAAACACAGAAAAGACATCAAATCACAAATGTCTTAGGAACAATATCTGTTGTCATTACTGTGGTAAAAAAGTACATTGGATGAGAGAGTGTAGAAAGAATAAAAAGAATTTTAAAGAGATGAACAGGGTAAATCAACTTCTGAACAGTTTGCTAAATGCCCTCAACATACCTCTCCCCTCATCACTAAATCCATTGAGCTGTCCACAAAGATGCTAACCATTTTTTGGCTGTAAGTGCTTATTGTCCCCATTCATTTACAATTAAGATGAAAGACTCTTTGTAAAAAGACACAAAGGAAACTTCTTCCTTTTTATTGGGGAAATCTGCATAAGTCCACTCACAGCCTTGAATGTGTTTAACACATTTTCCAATCACTACCCATTCAATGTTATGATGTCTGATAGGACTGATATTTGTTGAATGATAGTTTGTGTCTCACATTTTAAAGTTTGCCCACCACACTCAGGGACAGAACAGGACACACAAACCAGTGAGGAGCCCAGGGCAGAACTGAAAGCAACAGGCTTCAGGGGCCGCACCCTGTGGTGAAGACTCCCTTTTCCCCATTTATCCTCACCTCACTGTTTTATAGGTGTCATAACTTTAAGATTAGGAGACAGAAAATACACAACACTACACGATCATCAACTTAACACAACCACTATACGATCACCTGAATAACTAGACACATGAACTGTATGATCATACAAGTCTATGCATGAATACTGCTGGTCTGTTGTTTCCGTGTTTTCTTGTGTGCAGGTAAACACATAAACACTGCATCTTCTGAAGAAACACTCTAAACCAGAGCATCACTACGAAGATCCATGAATGACAGGAAGTCATCAGATCAACTCTGTGCTGGAGAAGAACCACAAGAAACACACCTTACAAAAGACTGAACACTATTCACAAACCATCGACTTTCAGAAGATCTGCAGTTTAACTACATGATTTTTTTGTGTCATCATGTAGGATTTATGACATTACAACTGATTGTCATAAACGTGTGAACAGTTTAGAAATCTACACTTACATCTACGTAGATATTGAAATGACACAGAATAAGTTAAATGTGCCTGTAACTTTTCAAGTTACATGACTAGAAGATGGTGCTTCTGTTATCAAACAGAAGCCATTGAATGGTTTTAGGAAAGCTTACAAATTTATATTTTTTTGTGAGAGTTTTTAAATAACTCTCAAAGGGGGAACTGTGGAAATATAAATTTATATCATCTAATTTCAACTTAACAATAATCTACGTATAACTAAAAAGTTATATTCTCTGGTTTTTAATTATATTATTTCATTGACATGCCAGCTAGGAGGGTCATTTAACCTTTGCCTTGCTGACTACAGGCTAAGCCAAAGTGATGCAATTATCAGTTTCACAGCATGGGGTGTCTATTGTTTTCTCTTTTCGATCAAATGGTCAGGCGGTTTCTGTCTCCAGAACATGATGAGATCAAAGCCTGAAAGAGCAGTTTACCCTGCCGATCACAACTCTTAATTTGCATGCTTTGTTTAGCCATATCCCCTCCTCCTAAGAACACAATATAGCCATGAAATCTTTGTCTTAAATCAGACTTGTGTGAGACTTGTGAGAGACTTGTGAAAGAACTTGCAGACTGCGGACCTCTAGTAGGCTCTTGCAGACACATGGACATCTTAAAGACGCTGTATGACTGCAGATTAACCAACACGTCTCAATAAAGGAATCCTGCTTGTTTCGAGTCTCCTGGACTGGGTTCTTCTCTTTTTTCACTCATTTATTTTTTTACAACACCTAAGCATCACAGAAGCGACACCCACATGCTCCGTATAACTGCACTGAAATCAGACATGTTTCAGGAGGGCAAGCAGCTTTTAGGACATGTACTGTACTCCTTGGTGAGGTGAGCCTTCCACTGTTGCTGGATACGGGTGTGGCAGCTTCTCTGCTCAATGCCAACACATACCACAAGTTCTTCTCCCATCTGCCACTGCAACAGCCCCCTACATCTCTTTGTGGTTACGACAGCTTTAAGATCACTATGTTGGGTGTTCTTCATGTTCCTGTCCGCTATGGCTCTAAACACATACCATCATTTCCCTTCTATATTACTCAGCGCGGTGCCAACCTTCTGGGATTGGACCTTTTCACATGTTTAGGATTCACACTGCGAGACAACAAGGGGTCGGATATCCACCACATCACCACTACATGGCAGCAGAGATGGCCGGCGCTGTTTAATGGACTGGGGTGCTTCACAGTTTTCACCCACAGGCCTCTGGTGGATCCGGAGGTGTCGCCAGTCATTCAACCCCTGCGCAGAATCCCTCTCGCACTGCGGGATGAAGTGACTGCAGAGCTTCAAACAATGCTGGCGATAAGAGTGATTGAACCAGTCAATGCTGCCCCCTGGATCTCTAACCTGGTCATTGCTAGGAAAAAGTCTGGTGGAATTCGGTTATGTGTGGATTTGCGATCTGTCAATAAGGCTGTTATACCAGACAAATACCCTTTACCCACAGCGGAGGAGCTGACCACTCATTTTTTATGGGTCAAAAGTGTTCACAAAACTGGATCTGCGACAAGGCTATTTGCAAGTGCCACTGCATCCTTCTAGCATAAACCTCACAGCGTTTGTCACACACACAGGGGTATATCGCTACACATGCATGCCATTTGGCTTAAGCTCCGCCCCCAGCTGTTTTCAAAAGGTGATGACAACTGTCTTGGCTGGTATCCCCGGGGTTGCTGTTTTCTTGGATGACATTGTAGTGCATGCAGCAGATATCCAAACACATAATGATCGTCTCTACAGGGTGGCTACCGCGCTCATGGAGCATAATCTCACACTGAATGAGGAGAAATGCACATTTGCTACGTCAGCCATTGATTTTGTTAGGTTTCGTCTCACATCCCAAGGCATTGCCCCGCTTCAGTCAAATATCGAGGCCATTCACAGAATCCCAGAACCCTCCTCCACTTCCCAGGTAGCTTCATTTTTGGGCATGACAGCCTACTACCTGCATTTTCTACCTCAGTACTCCCGAACCACAGCATCCCTCCGCCAATTACTAAAGAAAGATGAACCGTGGAATTGGACTGCAGAATGCACTGAGGCTGTCAAAATTCTAAAATCTCAGCTAACCACATCTCCCATTCTAGCTCACTTTGACCCAAACAGTCTGACTATTGTCACTTGTGATGCCTCCACACAGGCACTGGGAGCTGTTCTTTCACAAGAACAGGATGGTGTTGAAAGGCCGGTAGCATTTGCGTCCAGGGCCCTGACGCCCACTGAACAGCGATACTCTGTGGGTGAACGGTAAGCCCTTGCCTGTGTCTGGGCCTCAGAGAGGTGGCATCTCTATCTTTATGGCAGACGTTTCACACTCTGCACAGATCATCAGGTGCTTACCACACTCTTATCAGCTTCCAGCTCAGGTCATAAACCTGTGCGCCTACACAGATGGGGTGAGCGCATGAGACAGTATGATTATCAACTCAAATTCAGACCTGGGAGAGACAATGTGGTAGCAGATCTCTTATCCAGATCTATTACTGCACCCACACCAGCAGTCCCACCAAGCAGTAACGATGCGGAGCCAGAATTCATTCAGATGCTCCATGCACCTTTGCAATCGGCTGTTTCCTTGGAGGAGTTGCAGAAAGAGTCTGAGCAGGAAACTATACTATCAACTATCCGCACATATATACGCTCAGGGTGGCCTGCACGAGTACCTGAGGAATTGGTGCCATTTGCCAGGGTGGGGAATGAACTGTCATGCTGGGGTGATGTGTGTGTTTCCAGGGGTCTCTGTACAGTAGTGCCAAGTAGCTTGCGTGCCTGTGTCCTATCAATGGCGCATGAGGGCCATTTAGGCATTGTGAAATTTAAGCAGAGATGCCGGGATCTGGTCTGGTGGCCAGGCATTGACCGGGATATTGAAGGACTAGTCAGAGACTGTGAACCATGCCTTCTCAGTGGAAAGACTGGGCAACCAGCTCCAACCCCTTTGCAGCCAGTTGCATGGCCATCACGTCCATGGGAGCACCTTCAGGTAGATATCTGTGGTGAAATTCATGGTCATGGAGTTCCCCCTCATCAACGCTTTCTGGTTGTCATCTATGATCTCCATTCCAAATGGCCAGAGGTAGTGCCAATGGGAACAGTTACTTCCCAAACTATCACACAGATACTGGATAGCCTGTTTGCTCGTTGGGGCATGCCCCGTGCTATAACTACTGACAACGGTCCCCAATTTATGTCTGCAGAATTCTCTACTTTCCTAAGCAGTAAGGGGATCAAACACATTCGTGCCGCGCTCTATCACCCGCAAGCAAATGGCGGAGTGGAAAGGTTTAACCAGAGTCTTAAGAATGGGGTTCGGGCACATCTGGTACAGGGATACTCATTCCAAATGGCACTTAACCTAACCTTACTGCACTACAGGGCTAGTCAGCACAGTACCACTCACGTTTCACCTGCTCTGCTCATGCTTGGCTGGGAGATAGAACTGTCCCTAGACCAGCTCAGAGCACGTGGTTTGCCAGCAACGACAGTAAAGGAGCCCCAAGCAAAAGCCAAAGTGGCTGTCACTACAAACCAGGATCGTATGAAAAATAACTTTGACAAACGACACAGGGTTAGACATGCTAACATCGAGGTACTGGACTGGGTGCAGGCCCGCAGACCCCACCGTAGCAGTAAAATGGCATCTTTCTGGTCTGAACCTCACCAAGTAGTCCGTCGGTTAGGCTCAACCCCATATATGTTGAGTGATGGTTCTCGCTGGCATGCAAGTAGATTGCAGAGAGTGCCTATTCCCCTTACTACAACAAGAGGCCCAAGGGCAACAGAACCAATGGGGGCAGCAACACGAGGAATAAACTTTCAGCAGCAGCTATACCAGGCACCTCAGGGTCGTCAGCTCAGGGAGCCCCCACAACAGGCGGAGCCTGATCCGCCACCACTCTTGGCAGACACTGACCCCTGTCCTTCCCAAACATTGCACGATCCTATCCAGGATGTTCCAGAAATGCAACAGCAGGATGGTTAGGGAGGTAGACCAGTTCGGGCGAAGACTCGTCCAGCCTATCTTAAGGATTATATCATAGACTTTCATGCATAAATGTTAAGATGTGTCTGCTGTTTTGGCTGCCACATTAAAACTTGTTTTACTAAGTCATCAATTGTTGTGTGGGGGATTGTTGTGTTCAGCATGTTATAAGATTTATTGAAGTGTGTGTGCGCGTGCATGTGGTGCGTGCGCGTGGAAAATAAAGCGGAAGTTTTAGTGTGTTCATCTGGACTAATGTGTAGACTGAGTTACTGAGTGTCCATAAAATTCATACACAATATGTGTGTCAGAATGGCTGAGGTTCTCTCAGGTATTGAGAATTCTGGTCTCCAGTTGGAGGCGTGGGTTCAAATCCCACTTCTGACAATTGATTTTTCACATTGATTGCATAAGGAAATCTAGATAATTTAAAAGGCGCCAGAATTTTGCCTCAATGGAATGCACTACACCATAAATGAAGCATGTGTCAGAATGGCAGAGTGGTCTAAGGCGCCAGACTTAAGGTGATTTAACCTTCTTAGGTAGTGAGAATTCTGGTCTCCAGCTGGAAGCGTGGGTTCAAATCCCACTTTTGACATTTGATTTTTCACATTGATTACATTAGGAAATCTACATGATGTACAAGATTTTAATGCTGTGGTTAATCAATGGCCGAGTGGTCTAAGGTACCAGACTCAACGTGATTCAATTTTCTCTAGAAATTAGACTTCTGGTCTCCAGCTGGAGGTGTGGGTTCAAATCCCACTTCTGACAATTAATTTTTCACATTGATTACATAAGGAAATCTAGATAATTTACAACATTCTAATGCTGCTGCTGTCGTGCTTTGAAATTTGCCTCAATGGAGTGTACTACACCATAAATGAAGTGTGTCTCAGAATGGCCGAGTGGTCTAAGGCGCCAGACGCAAGATTCTTCAACCTTCTCAGGTAATGACAATTCTGGTCTCCAGGTGGAGGAGTGGGTTTAAATCCCACTTCTGACAATTGATTTTCCACTTTGTTTACTTAAGAAAATCTAAATAATTTACAACATTCTAATGCTGCTCCTGCTGTGCTAATCTAGATAATTTAAAACATGCTGATGCAGCTGCTGCCGTGCTTTGAAATTTGCTTCAATGGAGTGCACTACACCATGAATAAGGCGTCTGTCAGAATGGCTGAGTGGTCTAAGGCGCCAGACTCAAGGTGATTCAACCTTCTTAGGTAGTGAGATTTCTGGTCAACAGCTGGAGGCGTGGGTTCAAATCCCACTTCTGACAATTGATTTTTCACATTGATTGCATAAGGAAGTCTAGATAATTTACAAGATTTTAATGCTGTGGCTGTGCTCGGAAATTTGCCTCAAGCGTGTGTCAGAATGGCCGAGTGGTCTAAGGCGCCAGACTCAAGATGATTCAATCTTCTCTGGAAATGAGATTTCTGGTCTCCAGTTGGAGGCGTGGGTTCAAATCCCACTTCTGACAATTGATTTTTCACATTGATTACTTTGGGAAATCTAGATAATTTACAACGTTCCAATCCTGCTGCTGCCGTGCTTTGAAATTTGCATCAATGGAGTGCACTACACTATAAATGAAGTGTGTGTCAGAATGGTCGAGTGGTCTAAGACGCCAGACTTAAGGTGATATAACCTTCTTAAGTAGTGAGAATTGTGGTCTTCAGCTGGAGTTTGGGTTCAAATCCAACTTTTTACAGTTGATTTTTCACATTGATTACTTATGGAAATCTGGATAATTTAAAACATTCTAATGCTGCTGCTGCCGTGTTTTGAAATTTGCCTCAATGGAGTGCACTACACCATGAATAAAGCGTGTGTCAGAATGGCCGAGTGGTCTAAGGTACCAGACTCAAGGTGATTAAATTTTCTCTAGAAATGAGATTTCTGGTCTCCAGCTGGAGGCGTGGGTTTAAATCCCACTTCTGACAATTGATTTTTCACATTGAATACTTAAGGAAATATAGATAATTTTCAAAATTCTAATGCTACTGCTGCCGTGCTTTGAAATTTGCCTTAATGGAGTGCACTACACCATGATAAGGCGTGTGTCAGAATGGCCGAGTGGTCTAAGGCGCCAGACTCAAGGTGATTTAATCTTCTCAGGTAGTGAGATTTCTGGTCTCCAGCTGGAGGTGTGGGGTCAAATCCCACTTCTGACAATGGAATTTTCACATTGATTGCATATGGAAATCTATATAATTTATAAGATTTTATGCTGTGGCTGCGCTCTGAAATTTGCTTCAAGCGTGTGTCAGAATGGCTGAGTGGTCTAAGGCGCCAGACTCAAGATGATTTAATCTTCTCTGGAAATGAGATTTGTGGTCTCCAGCTGGAGGCGTGGGTTCAAATCTCTCTTCTGACAAAAAAAATTCCACATTGATTACATAAGGAAATCTTCATGTGGTACAACGTTTTAATACTGTGGCTAATGGATGGCCGAGTTTTCTAAGGTACATGACTCAAGGTCATTTAATTTTCTTTAGAAATGAGATTTCTGGTCTCCAGCTGGAGGCGTGGGTTCAAATCCCACTTCTGACAATTGATTTTTCACATTGATTACATAAGGAAATCTACATGAGGTACAACGTTTTAATACTGTGGCTAATGAATGGCCGAGTTTTCTAAGGTACCAGACTCAAGGTCATTCAATTTTCTCTAGAAATGAGATTTCTGGTCTCCAGCTGGAGGCGTGGGTTCAAATCCCACTTCTGACAATTGATTTTTCACATTGATTACATAAGGAAATCTAGTTAATTTACAAGATTTTAATGCTGTGGCTGTGCTCTGAAATTTGCCCCAAGCGTGTGTCAGAATGGCCGAGTGGTCTAAGGCGCCAGACTCAAGATGATTCAATCTTCTCTGGAAATGAGATTTCTGGTCTCCAGTTGGAGGCGTGCTTTCAAATCCCACTTCTGACAATTGATTTTTCACATTGATTACTTTAGGAAATCTACATGAGGTACAACGTTTTAATACTGTGGCTAATGAATGGCCGAGTTTTCTAATGTACCAGACTCAAGGTCATTCAATTTTCTCTAGAAATGAGATTTCTGGTCTCCAGCTGGAGGCGTGGGTTCAAATCCCACTTCTGACAATTGATTTTTCACATTGATTACATAAGGAAATCTAGTTAATTTACAAGATTTTAATGCTGTGGCTGTGCTCTGAAATTTGCCTCAAGGGTGTGTCAGAATGGCCGAGTGGTCTAAGGCGCCAGACTCAAGATGATTCAATCTTCTCTGGAAATGAGATTTCTGGTCTCCAGTTGGAGGCGTGGGTTCAAATCCCACTTCTGACAATTGATTTTTCACATTGATTACATAAGGAAATCTACTTGATTTACAAGATTTTAATACTGTGGCTAATGAATGGCCGAGTTTTCTAAGGTACCAGACTCAAGGTCATTCAATTTTCTCTAGAAATGAGATTTCTGGTCTCCAGCTGGAGGCGTGGGTTCAAATCCCACTTCTGACAATTGATTTTTCACATTGATTACATAAGGAAATCTACATGAGGTACAATGTTTTAATACTGTGGCTAATGAATGGCCGAGTTTTCTAAGGTACCAGACTCAAGGTCATTCAATTTTCTCTAGAAATGAGATTTCTGGTCTCCAGCTGGAGGCGTGGGTTCAAATCCCACTTCTGACAATTGATTTTTCACATTGATTACATAAGGAAATCTAGTTAATTTACAAGATTTTAATGCTGTGGCTGTGCTCTGAAATTTGCCTCAAGCGTGTGTCAGAATGGCCGAGTGGTCTAAGGCGCCAGACTCAAGGTGATTCAACCTTCTCAGGAAGTGAGATTTCTAGTCTCCAGCTGGAGGCGTGGGTTCAAATCCCACTTCTGACAATTGATTTTTCACATTGATTACATAAGGAAATCTACTTGAGGTACAACGTTTTAATACTGTGGCTAATGAATGGCCGAGTTTTCTAAGGTACCAGACTCAAGGTCATTCAATTTTCTCTAGAAATGAGATTTCTGGTCTCCAGCTGGAGGCGTGGGTTCAAATCCCACTTCTGACAATTGATTTTTCACATTGATTACATAAGGAAATCTACATGAGGTACAACGTTTTAATACTGTGGCTAATGAATGGCCGAGTTTTCTAAGGTACCAGACTCAAGGTCATTCAATTTTCTCTAGAAATGAGATTTCTGGTCTCCAGCTGGAGGCGTGGGTTCAAATCCCACTTCTGACAATTGATTTTTCACATTGATTACATAAGGAAATCTAGTTAATTTACAAGATTTTAATGCTGTGGCTGTGCTCTGAAATTTGCCTCAAGCGTGTGTCAGAATGGCCGAGTGGTCTAAGGCGCCAGACTCAAGGTGATTCAACCTTCTCAGGTAGTGAGATTTCTGGTCTCCAGCTGGAGGCGTGGGTTCAAATCCCACTTCTGACAATTGATTTTTCACATTGATTACATAAGGAAATCTACATGAGGTACAACGTTTTAATACTGTGGCTAATGAATGGCCGAGTTTTCTAAGGTACCAGATTCAAGGTCATTCAATTTTCTCTAGAAATGAGATTTCTGGTCTCCAGCTGGAGGCGTGGGTTCAAATCCCACTTCTGACAATTGATTTTTCACATTGATTACATAAGGAAATCTACATGAGGTACAATGTTTTAATACTGTGGCTAATGAATGGCCGAGTTTTCTAAGGTACCAGACTCAAGGTCATTCAATTTTCTCTAGAAATGAGATTTCTGGTCTCCAGCTGGAGGCGTGGGTTCAAATCCCACTTCTGACAATTGATTTTTCACATTGATTACATAAGGAAATCTACATGAGGTACAACGTTTTAATACTGTGGCTAATGAATGGCCGAGTTTTCTAAGGTACCAGATTCAAGGTCATTCAATTTTCTCTAGAAATGAGATTTCTAGTCTCCAGCTGGAGGCGTGGGTTCAAATCCCATTTCTGACAATTGATTTTTCACATTGATTACATAAGGAAATCTAGTTAATTTACAAGATTTTAATACTGTGGCTAATGAATGGCCGAGTTTTCTAAGGTACCAGACTCAAGGTCATTCAATTTTCTCTAGAAATGAGATTTCTGGTCTCCAGCTGGAGGCGTGGGTTCAAATCCCACTTCTGACAATTGATTTTTTATTTACATTGATTACATAAGGAAATCTACATGAGGTACAATGTTTTAATACTCTGGCTAATGAATGGCCGAGTTTTCTAAGGTACCAGACTCAAGGTCATCCAATTTTCTCTAGAAATGAGATTTCTGGTCTCCAGCTGGAGGCGTGGGTTCAAATCCCACTTCTGACAATTGATTTTTCACATTGATTACATAAGGAAATCTAGTTAATTTACAAGATTTTAATGCTGTGGCTGTGCTCTGAAATTTGTCTCAAGCGTGTGTCAGAATGGCCGAGTGGTCTAAGGCGCCAGACTCAAGGTGATTCAACCTTCTCAGGTAGTGAGCTTTCTGGTCTCCAGCTGGAGGCGTGGGTTCAAATCCCACTTCTGACAATTGATTTTTCACATTGATTACATAAGGAAATCTACATGAAGTACAACGTTTTAATACTGTGGCTAATGAATGGCCGAG